CATCGGTCTGAAAGTGTTTGGGCGACAGATCCGGTAAGCACTTCCTCATGTACTTTTCTTTTTTTAAATGTGATAGTATTCTTCTAATTTTTTTGTATAATAATTAATATTTTTTTTTTCTACAGGAACAACTTGACGTAATCACCCATCGGTCGCTATCTCGCTTGCCTAAATGGGATTATAGTATCGAGCCCTTCATTGAAAGAGCACGATTGCTGAGGGTGTGAAAGTTTGTAGGGATGGAGATGGACAACAACCTTCTTACGGCAATGGTGGAAAGATGGAGAAAAGAAACGCGCACATTCCACCTTCTAGAGGGAGAGATGACGATTACGTTGAAGGACGTAGCCATGCTGACAGAGCTTCCAATCGATGGTGATGCAATAATAGAAAGTTCAAATAAACCATTGAATGGTTGGGGCCAATTTATAAGCGAGCGTTTAGGTATCAACATCCCCGAGGAAGCACAAGAAGGTCGTCGAGTACCACCTCTACACAAGTCTATGCTATTGATACCTTGACTAGTGAGGACCGTTGGGGAATTACCGGAGGATGCCACGGATGCTCAGATAGAGAGGTATGCTCGCATCTACCTTATTTGTTTGGTTGGAGGATTTTTGTTTCCGGACAAGTCTGGTGGAAATATGCATTGTATGTGGCTTCGAGTTCTTTTGGAAGATTGGGACGAGATTGGGAGAAAAAAGTTGGGGATCTGCTTGTTTGGCGATGATATATTCGGAGTTGTGCAAGTGTACGGATCCGAAAACAAAGCAAGCGGGTGGTCCCATGTTCATCCTCCAACTATGGGTTTGGGAGCACCTTCCTACTTTCGCTCCGATCTGCCCTGCCAACAGTTGGGGTCCCGATGAGCCACTACGACAATGGGCTTATGGTGCTAGATGGATTGGAGCTATCACGAGACTCACCTCTCTAGACGGGTACCGCCAACATCTTGACCGTATAGAATTCAACGAGGTAACATTCTAGCTTATGATTATGAATGCTAATTTATTTGTTGAAGTTATTTGTCTTAGCCCATGATTTATTTTTACGATTATGAATAAGTTTTTGTTTGTTGAAATTATTTGTCTTAGTCTTAGCCTATGATTTATTTTTATGATTATGAATTCTATTTTATTTGTTGAAATTATTTGTCTTAGCCTATGATTTATTTTTATGATTACGAATTCTATTTTATTTGTTGAAATTATTTGTCTTAGCCCATTATTTATTTTTATGATTATGAATCCTATTTTATTTGTTGAAATTATTTGCTTCAATTTTAATTACAACATAAACTTCTTAAATCACAACATAAAATTCAAATTACAACATAAACTTCTTAAATCACAACATAAAATTCAAATTACAACATAAACTTTCAATTATCAGTCGATGGCCCTGGACACTGGCGCCTATCATGCCCTTCAACTCGACATGTAGAGCACTTCTTTGGGCGGCGTCGCTGTGTCCTTGATCTATCCATTTTATTTGCAATTCGGTTAACTCTAGGTCGACCTTTGATACGCTTCATGTGCTTGGGAGGGTACACTACAGGTCCATCATACTGGGGCCAATATGCTTCATGAGCAAAGGGAAAGAACGACCCTTCCCAAACTCTGATCACGTATGGAGTCTTGTAGTATGGAATAACAAATATCAAAGGGTCCAAATTAACGCTTCTCGCAGCTGCATATGCGTGAGAGCAAGGCAGGTGTCTCCCTTGAAACTTCCCACAAGTACACTCTCTTATTCCATTCTTTGCATCCAGTATAACTGTTTGAGCATTACCACCCTTTGAACTATCTGGCCCACTTCATGTTACTACTGCGAAGCGGGAATCTCTTCGACTAAATAAAGTCACCTTATGCCAATTTGCCCTTTCTGACCATGGTTTATCATCTGTAATCTTCTTTGGGATGTAGATTCCAGCATTCAGCATCTGATATGCTGCTTGGTAGCGTTCAACGAACCATGTCACCGTACGAAAGAAGGTATGCAAGACTATTGATGAGATAGGCATTGCACGAAGGCCAACATACAAACCATTGAGGCACTCACCCATGTTCGTTGTTGTTATTCCATACCTATACCCTTCGTCTTGATGTAACGTCTACCTCTCAAAAGGATGAGTTTCTAGCCAATCTGCACCTTCAGAGTGGACCTCCCTTATGCTCTTCATTTTGTCTACAAACTTTCGAGTCTGAAAAGCAATAGCTACAATAAAGCAAAATAAAGTTAATAAAGGAGTATACGCATTCAACCAATTGATATAATCACAAAATCTTATTTGTTCTTACCAGCGTGCCAAACTGCACGTTGTCCATAAGTTCTACCAAAGTTCTTCCCGTAATTGCTTTTGAAATGTCGTATGCACCAGCGCCACTTCCACCCTAGCTCCTCGGGCAGGTCGTAGAAAGCATGTGCAATTCCATGGTGTCGATTAGAAAGTATGTCAATGTCCTTCCATTGAGTGACATGAGTATATAGTTGGGAAAAAACCATGCCCAAGTTAAGTTGTTCTCCGATTCGACTATAGCAAAAGCAAGCGGGAAAAGTTGCATACTGCCATCAACACTAGTGGCAACGAGTAGAGTGCCCTTGTATTTGCCGGTCAGAAAGGTGCCATCAACTTGGATTATTGGCAGACAATGGGTGAAACCATCAATGCATGGTTTGAATGCCCAAAATAGTCGCTTGAACACGCGTTTAGCACCCCCAGAGAAATCTTCGTAACTAGGCACAAAATAGACCCAGGATTCTTGTCCACCATTGCAAGAATCAAATGAGGCATGTTAGCAAATGACTCTTCCCAATCACACTACACCTCTGCCATAGCCTTTTGCTTCCCATGCCATGCTTTCTTGTAACTGATGGTATAGCCATGTCGATTCTTCACTTCAGCGATGACACTCTTTACGGTGATCCTAGGCTGTGCCTCAATCAGATGTTTGATTGTTTGTGAAACCTTCCTTGCACTCAATTGTCGGTGATCTAGAGAAATCAGTGACGACCTACAAGTGTGGTTGTCGTCTGTCTTACAAATGGGCCAAGCCCCATTTCTTTTAACATATGCCGCCCGAACATGCCACATGCATCCGTCGCCATGGTTCTCACAACGAACATGAATTTGTTTAGTGTCAAAAGTGATGACACAATATTGAAAGCTTCTTCGCATAGCAGTTTCTTTCCATGCATCGACCACCTGAGGCTTTCCTCCAAATGATTGGCCAACCACGAATCCAGAGTCAGGAGTCCAGATTGGTATAGGAGGGAGGTCAGGATCGTCGTTGTGAGCATAGAGAGGATGTTGTGGCACCATCGTGTAGTGAGGTGTGGGGGGCTCAAATTCTCCTTCATCAACTTCCAGATCTTCACCATCTGAACCACTCATTGATTCTAACTCTTCATCTTCCACGTCGCTTGCCTCGCTAGTGTACGGAGGACTTGGTTTATCCACATATGGATCATTGTTGATGCCAGATGCTGGTGTAGATGCTTGTCTGGGTGACTGTCTGGGTGCCCTTATGTAATCCCATTCTTCACCCCATACTGGCCACTCCTGTCCGTCATGTTCCACAAATGGACCAGTTGTAGTTCGATCCTCGTATGTTGGCCATGGTGCATCATGCCGGACTCTGAAATCTCCTGAATCGGAAAACCCTCCCGATCCTTCACCTTGTTCGGTATAACCGCCACCATATTGGCCAAAAACTTCTGTCTCGACATACACCTCAGCAGTTGAAATCTGTTCTCTGCAATAAATCTCACCATCATGTTAATGTCATCATCGTCAGACAAAACTGATCCTTCATATACAAGTGCATAATCCTTGTAAACCGGCATATGGTAAGTCATCTTGCATACTCTTCGCCCTCCTATGCAACATCGTTACACACAAATATGACTGAGTTCTTGCCAAGTAAATATGCTCTCAATCCGGAAAATACTTGATTCACCATCTTCGTGGTCAATACTATCATGAAAATGTGTAATTCGACCATTCCACCGAATCTTTAAGTCGAATTTTCGAAATTTTCAACCCATTTCTGCAGTTTATAGAAGCAGATCATTACATACAGTACAAACAATACTAAATTAATCCAAAATTCTAATATGCTCATTCAAACAACGTAAGCAGAACTTGCCTCCAAAATTTTTCTTCTTTGCTTAGCTATGATGCTCCAGCACCTGCAGTTTGTGTTTGGAAGAAAGAAGATAGAAAGGAAGAGAGTTGCCAGAATGTGCTAAGTGATGGCTTTTTATCCTCGTAAACTGATGGAGTGGTTCAAGTCCAAAAAACTCGAACTACACTAGTTCGAGTCCATAAAACTCGATCTAGTGCAACCAATAATTTTACCCCTGCACCCTATTCTGGAGCATGTCGGACCGAAAGCGACTGGACAGAATGATTGAGCAGTAGTTCGAGTTCAGTGTAATCGAACTACACTAGTTCGAGTCTCTAAAACTCGATCTTTGACAACCAAGAATCTTATCCCTCCAACCCTATCCTGAAGCATGTCGGTGGACCAGTGGTTCGAGCCCATTGGAATCGATTTAGGTTGTTCGAGTCTTAAGACATCGATCTTGTGCAGATATTGATCGAGTGCCTTAAAGTCGTTGTACTACATCAAGGTTTCTGGCATCGATCTAACTGGATTGAGTTGTCCATACTCGATCGACTGTGATCGAGTCCTTTGTCATCGATCAACTTTGATCGATTTCTCCGAAATCGAACTAATGTTGATCGAGTTTTAGGAACTCGATCTCATTTTAGTTCGAGTTCTTCATCGTCGAACTGAAGAGTAGTTCGAGTTTATGGGACTCGAATCCTTCGAAACTTGGGTAGTTTGGGAAAATTTTATAAAACTTATGTATTCCGGGAATTATGTTTAATTTTTACTGTATTCTGGGAATTCTTCGTGTGGTATCAGAGTACGGTCATCGACACTTACAGGTTAAACACCAAGCCACACATTTCCCGATAATCATTAGAAAAAACATAAATACCCAGTTTATTGAGAAACATCAAACCACACGTTTGACTGAAATTTATTCTTTCACACACACGGTAAAACTGAAAACACCAACTTCATGAGAGGACAACTAAAAAAGATTGCAAATCAAGCAGCAGGCGCTATTACAATCGGGCTCGTTACTTTATGTGTCCCATGCATCTCATTCCAACGGACCAAACCTCGTGAAACTCTTCCCTTCTTGTCTTTCACATACTTCAGGGTCAACGTATAGCTCTTCCTCTGGTACTTCTTGGCAAAAACCAAAGTTTTTGGATGAAAAGTAACAGAGGAACCTCTTGGTGTGACCACATCAACCTTGTACACTCCACCAGCTTCTCCAACATTTCTCACCGTCCTCCGAAACCTTCGAACTACAACCCCTGGCGACGCCTTCTTGTTGTCGTATAACAAGACGAACGATGGGTAGTTATGGTCACGAGAACGCCATTTTGAACAATTATCATGACGGATCGATCCAGTAGTAATTTTCAAATTTTGCTTTTTATTATAATTCAAAGAACAAAAAGAATCTACATGCCCTTTTGAATTATTAGTGTCGTAAACCAAACCTGGGTCCATAGCTCGGCGCAGGTCGACAACTGCCAACGCTCGACTATCCTGCTCGTGGTCCATCGCGCTGCCAGTTGTCACTATAGCAGATTTTATGGCCATGGGGCTCCATTTTGGGTGGACAATTTTCAGCATAGCAATGATTTTGGAAACTCGAGGACAAGCCACCAATGAAATCGCTTGGGTTGGGTTTTCATCAGATGGGCTTCGTGATCCATGGGCCGTGCCGTCGTGATCAACGGAAGCAATCGCATTATGCCTCACCGGACGGCCTGGATGGCGGCTGTCTAAAGATCCGAAACGGTGGTCTTGGAGAGTCAATGCGGGCCGGTAGTGAGGACCAAACTGCAACTCGTCCATGTGAATTATGCAACTTGCTTTCTCTACCGATCCACTGATGTTGTTGCCGTGGGAAGGATGTGGTAGAAGACACGTTGCGGCTACGAAGAGGCATAGAAGAACAGTAGAAGGGATTTGAAGGAAGCTGTTGGTCGCCATTGTAGGATTTTTGGGCTCTTTTTGGGGGGTGAGATGAGGCCTAGAGAGGTTTTCGTAGACATTTATAGGGAACGAAAAGATTGGCTGGATATATCATTGTCGGCTGCTGCCGAGTCACAGAAGAGAAGAAGTTATACAAGTTGTTGTCTTGGTGACTAGGAGTAACGAAATCTTCCTAGAAATGGGCTGATAAAAAGTCGGTAAAAACCGAACTACATATGCTGACATGCTAAATTGTTTTCTTTTGTATGTGTGTGGATAGCCAGGACAAAAATGAGATGTGATTTCCTACGTGGTATACTTGGCATGTGTTTGTGTAGATGATGAGGACGATAGGTTGGAAGACTTGTTGAGCTACTGGAACTTTGTATCGTAGTATATGAATTGGTTTGGATGGATCAATGATATGGTTTGGATGGATGATGGATGAATTCTGAATTGTCTGTTACTATCCAGTCAACTAGAATTGAATCAAAACGTATCAATTATAAATTTTCCAAGTGAAATTGATCCATCGAAATTTTCAGTTGGCAAATGAATCAATATGGTCCAATTGTCTATTTTAGAGTAAACATTTAGGTGCATAATCATTAATTATATAATACATTATAATTAGATTTCAAGCTCTTTGGACAATCTGTAAAAGAAAGGTTTTGAAGGTGTAAATATGTGGATTAGTACTTGGCACAAAACCTTTACCTTTCCATATATGCCTTACATTGACATTGAAGATGTTACGTCTTATATTGTTACTTGTAAAGGTGTAAAGTGTCATGGATTTTGTAAGAATGTTTGTATGTCGAGTACGGTTTCGTACTCTATGTTGTTCGGATCAATAAAGTTCAGGTGGCACATGGTAATTGTCCAAGCAGTGTAGGTCGCCCAATAATCTTAAATCTTATTTTATCTTATCTTATGGTTGTTCAAAAGTTATTTCTTCCCACATAAGCATTTGGAGAACTCACAAGTTGTCAAGGTGGACAATATTTTTAGAAAAAAAAAATTAGTTAATGATCTATTGATGAAGCTATCTCTCTCTTCATTTATTTTTTTTTTTTATTTTGTTTTATTTCATAACTCCTTTTTACTTTTGCATTATATCTATGTATGCAATAATAGACTAATGTTTGTAAAGTGACATTTATCGTGTTTTTTTAAACCGAAAACATATTCTTACATCTTTAAGTCAAGTTTCTACTCATTTATACTAAAACTTAATAATAAGTTATATTTTGATGGAAAATTAGAAAAAACATACACATAAATAATAATATTTTATTCGATCAAATAAATATAATAATGGAAAGAGCGAAGACAATTGTTTGACGATCAATCAACTTTCAAAAATGAACTATATTATTTATATTTTTTACTATCAAACATTGTCTCATTTCCAATGTATATGTCTATCAAATAAAGAAATTATTATTTTAAAAAAGTAATGGATAGAAACCTGACAATGTGCAAGTATTATATGACACATGTGAATATTAGAGAAGTATTTGTAGACGATGTACGGTAAACAACATGTTTCATGAACCATTGACCTAGACATTGATCAAACAAAGACTGACAATTTTCATTTAATAGTTGAATGTATTGATAGTAAAATATAAATTTGAGGATTAATACAATAACTAAATATTTGTTTTTTGCTTGAGATATTTACACAAAAATCATTTATAGTTAAAAAAAAGTCTATATCGAGTTATTGGGGTAAAACTATAAAATCTTTAATAAAGATGAGTTGAACAAGGCAATTGCAAGAAGTCATTTGGTTGTCTGGTTGTGAGCCTATTACTCCTTACCAAATTTTGGCAATAACAAAAACTTCCTTATATCAAAGTGTCAAAACAGAAATATATTAGTTTGTAATAGTAAGCAATTTGTATTTAGATCGAGTGATCCTAACTAGGGGTGGCTATACGGTCCGATCCGGTTAAATTGGTCCGAATTGATCCGGTTCCAGTCCGGTTTTTTTGAGAATATAAGGACCAAAGATTGGATTGGATCCAGTCCGGTCTTGAACCGGTCGGGTCCCGATTTGGTCTTGATTTTAGATTGACCTTGTGGGGATTTGAGTGGTCTGAGGGGGGATTTGAGTGGCCTAAGGCCTGAAAGGGTGAGGAGGTTAAATTTTGGGTGTTGGGCTCTCTTATCCGGTCTTTATCCGATTTTTGCTCCGGTCCCAAACGGTTTTTTATCTCAAATCTAGGCCCGAAGATTGGATTGAATTGTTTACTATCAGGTCCCGGTCTGGTCTCGGTCCGGGTTATATGGTCCGGTTTCGGGTAAAACCAAAAAGCCCGAACCTAATCCTAACCGTGCATATCTTCCTTTTACAATCTTTTCTAGGATTACAAAGTAAAGTAAACTCTTTATATATGCTTACATATTAACAATAGATGTGTCGACAATGCATCCATGAATCCATATGTATGCGAAATGTCATAATTGTTGTATGAATTTAAAAAATAATAAAAATCAACTTTTTAAAAAATATAAATTAATTGTACAAACAATACGCCTTTTTAAATGCACCTAAAATCCATGGGCGTTGTAGACACGCTTTATAAGTTATTAATATAAGTAATAAAAATTTGTTCTAGAACAAACATCAAAGATAAAGAAAATTTTACAAATATACATTAAAAAAGCTGAAAAATTATACATTAAATGACCATGTCAAGACAAGAACCCTTGATAGTGTGTGTGAGTGTTTTGGGTTGAGATTCTAAACCAACATGTAGACAACAACCACGGGTTGAGGGTTAGATCAAACTTCAAGAATTAGTGATTGATACATATTATATAAGATACTAAATTTGAGTGTCTTGATAGACAAATTTTGACTTAAGATCCTCAACCGAGACTTCATGAAGAATCACATGAAAATGAGTCATGATTAGAGAATATGGTCATCGTAAGGGGTACGATATGGGTCAATTTTCACTTGGAATAGACCAAATTTATCCACTAATTAAGTATCATTATCCAATAATCTGATCTTTCAATAACTAGTTTAGAGTTTGTCCTAACTCGAGAATAACGAATTGTTATATGTTGTATACTATAATAAATTTGAGTGTCTTGGTTGAAAAATCTTGATATGCTATCCTAAATGTGATGTGATAAACTTTCACGATATGATTTATGATTATAGAATAATATGATCATAGGTGAGTCATGAGTGTGCTAAGTATTGAGAACTTTTAATATAAGCATATCACATAATCACTTATGAAGTGATAGTACAAAAATCTAGAAGATTCAAAAAATTTAAACATATAGATAAATTAATTGATATAAATGATAATGGAACTCTCCGGCCAACAAGCTAGGTAGGAAGCTAGTCCCTAATAAGAGAATTGAAGTGAGGGTTATATATATATGTAGCAACCGAGTTTGGCTGCATGTATCATGTATGTGTGTGGGTAATTAAATTTAAAAACCTAATAAGAGAACTGAAGACTACTTGGGTAGTCTTTCGTGAATTAGTCTCATCCTCACGAACGAGGATATCAGATAACAATATTGTTATCGTATTTTTAGTTTGTTCTTCGCTTTTTTTTTTTAATCATGTCATTATTTTTATAGATGTCGTGTACATACATATGGGAGAGAAACATTAATACTTCTAGAGATAGAGCTTTGGAAGAGAATTTCTTTTTCTTTTTCGCAAAGTCAGTTGTTATAAAATCAGACATACAGAAAAAATAAAAAGTGCGCGGGAGTCGACCAATAGACGAACTCCCGATGAGAGGGTCTTTTATGCCACATGTTGGGCAGCCCTATTGAGACAGCGGAGAACAAAACAGTAAGAAACCCAACTACAGAGAGAAGCCGAGCTCTGAGCATCGTGCAAGTTAATTCCATCCTGATCATGAGCCAAGTCACCTGTCTGAGGAAGTCCCTCCGATAACGGGAGCTCTTCTGCGTGCCTCTAAAAAAAAAAAAAAAACACACAAGCGTCCCCACTGAAGGCAACTAAGCTCCACCAAATGGCCTTAAACAAGCCTTTAAGGCTTAGTCAGATACACTGAATCCAAAACTATGTCAAATTAATTTTTTTTTTTTTTTGGAAGAGCATTTATTCATAAGATTTTTGCTCATTTAGTGAGTGTCTTTTGATGAATTATAGTCTACCAAAAGAGCGCAATTTGATTTCACGTTTTTTTACAACCACCCATATACTACTTTATGCCTGAGCCCTGAGATAATGAGTATTTGAACAAATCCTCGTGTTTTTGTTGGGGAATTGGTATCTTTTTTAAGAGAATTAAAATATGATACATAGTTTAATTTCATTGATTTATTTCCGAAAAAAATCCAAATCTACTATTATTTTAAAAAAATTACAAACATACCAGCTGTTCCGAAAATTTTACAAATGTACCACCATTGACCAAAAATCGTTTGGGAAAATGGTGGTGCAAAGGTGAACCGCGCAGGGAAGGAGCGGTTCCTTTTAGGGTTTCCAGAAAACCGCCCCTGCATGTGGCGGTCCTGCAAACCGTCGGATGAAGGGGCGATCCGACGGCAGACCGCGCGCCAGCTCAACGATCCGCGTCTGGCTGCGGTAACCGCCCCTCAAACAAGCGGTTTACGCCTTGGGAAATGGAAACCGTTGGTTGGGGGAGTGGTTTCCTTTGGTGTAAAATTACATAATCGTCCCTCGGCCAGACAGTCCATACCCTATATAAACTCCCCTCCTCTTCATTTCTTCACACCAAAACCCACTCTTCTTTCTCTCTCTAAGTTTATCTCTCTATCCATCCCCCTCTCCACCAAAAACCCTTGTATGTTGGTTGCGGCTAAGTCCGAACTGCCATCAGAAAACGTTTCTTTGATTTTTCCTTCAAAACTCGTCGAATCCATCTCCGGTATCTGAAAAAATGGTTGATATTTTTGAAGATGAGGGTATTTATTATGATTACTATCAAGCGTTACGTACTCAGTTAACATAAATTTTGGTGTTGTAATAATGATTTTATTTAATCTATATACTAATTAATTTATGTTGTTGTTTGCTATCGTAGGTTGGAGAGGACGTTGATATCTACAATCAAAGATGTTATGTTGATCAATGACCGATTGATCCATCCGTGTTATACGACCAAAATAATCACCGTTCAAGGGATGTTTGGAACGATCACCAGGTACATATAATTTATCATCACTTGTCATTTTTCATTTTGTTAACATAAGTTAGTGGTTTGTAAAATAAATTTATTAATTGTTAATTGTTTGTTTATTTTCAATTATTTAAAATAATACAATGTGCCACTTATTTAGACTCTTTATAAAGAGATGTATGCCTAAGGAAATGAGGTCTTAAGCGATCATCATGATCCTCCCTTTTCCTGGGAAAATCGGGTTCTAAGCAATCCTCGGATCCCCCTTTATTTGTAAAAAAGGTGTGTTTCTGTGGAGATGTATACTTCTCCTAAGAGTCTAATGAGTGTACTTGTATTGATTTAAATTATTGAAATCAACCAATACGAAGTACAAAATAATAAAGAGTGTACTTGTATTAATTTTATTTAAATTTTGAAAATGGTATTCATTTTGTTAATTATTTTAGTACGTTTAATATGTTTGTTTTACCAAATTATGTACATATCTTGGGAAAAACTTTAATTTTGTTAATTGCTATTGTGTGTTATTATAGATTTCTATATTTATAAATCATAAACTTATGGTGAAAGTTAAATTCTTCGTTAGGATGCATACGATATAATCCGCTATAGGGGTACGACCAATGTGCTCCCATGGAACGACGTCATCTTGCCCTTTCTAAGAAGGACAAAGTTGGATTCCATTAGGCACTTTAATGGGATAAAGATCGGCCGCCAACTCATCACAGCATTGGTGGAGAGATAGCGAAAGAAAACACATTGCTTCAACTTTCGTGAAGGCGAGTGCACAATCACACTTAAGGACATCGTCATCCTAACCTATTTGACCATCGATGGCGATGTTGTGTGTGTGGACTCTTCCGTACCACCTAAAGTTGTTGAGAATATGATTGGTTGGCAGCATTTCATATTTCAAGCCACTAGGTTGCGTGTGCTAGAAAAGAGTGAGGGAAACCATGATCAGAATGGTCATCCACCATTGACCAAAGGCCAAGTATCCATCACTTGGTAGACAGCGGCGATCAGGGAAAAGCACAACCCTGCGGTATGAGGCATTCCCCTCACGGAGGAAAGTTTGGACCATGATAAGGAAATTTAAGCACGTGTCTACCTCATCGGCATGATCGGAGGTGTGTTCTTCATGTAACCCCAATACACATTTGACGGAACTCTTCAAACTTCGGTCTCATAGCGACCTTCACTTTATGAAAATTACCACTGACGTAATGTACCCCCTTTCCAGTCTCTTCAGTATAGTCATTCCACTGTAACCCAAGCGTGAAATTTTGAAATGCCATCTGCCATAAAATCAGAACTAAATTAATACCATCAAAATCACAAATCACAATAAAAGGTAATGCAAAACAAACTTACGAAGTAACGTTAATCGCAAAACTAAAAAAAGTAAGGTGCATAACAGAAATTTGAAGAAGAATAAGGAGAGGGGGTGAGGAGCTGAGATTCTCAGAGCTGCCTTTTATAGGCAAAATTTTGACTCAAAACCGTAGGGGTAGGGCGCGGTTTTAGTTTGCCATGCAGCCCCACCCCTGCATGCGGACATGTGGGATGTCGGGGACGACACACAAACCGCTAGGAGAGGGAATGGTTTGTGTGTCGACACAATAAACCGCATGCTCAAAGAGCTGTTTCAATTGTTGGCGTAAAACCGCTCCTTAAAGAGGCAGTTTGTTGTAGGGCAACCCAATAAACCGCCTTCCCAGGTCGCGGTTTGTTAAAAAAATGTAAGTTGCCACCTCAACATGCGATTCATATGTAAACTGCCACCTCACCATGTTGTTTATATGCAAACCGCCTACTTAGGTGAAGATTTACAAATAATGGTGGTAGATTAGTAAAATTTTGAGAACACATGGTATATTTATAAAAATAAAAATTAAATAATGGTAGATTTGGATTTTTTTTCCTTTATTTTCTTAGCTTCTTTCATCTCCTTCCGAAGAATATAGAAACAACTATGACAAAAATTGTAGAGATGAGCAAAATACGTTGTTTTTATGCATCCTATTTCCATGTATAAATTAAGGTGTGATAAGGGTAAAAGTAATGTAGAGTGTAGACGACATGTATAAGAACAATTTATTGTGCAACTATTTTTTACTACTAAGATTATTTGAATTTGAATGTGTGGTGGGTATTATCATTCCCATATTATCATTATGCCATCAAAGAATTTGTTGCAATGTATATGAAAACTTTTATGGTTGATATAAATAAAAAATTTAAGTTGCAATTAAGAAATAATTTTTTACTTTAAAATTTAATCATTCACCTATAACTAAAAGAAAGAAATAATTATTTACCAAGAAAATTAATGAAATACAAAGTTACAAACCATAAGATGAGGTTCGTCATTAACTTGATTCTTTGAATATTGCTCAATACATCAAACAAGTTCCTTCTTTATTATGATTCATCGCATCCACTGCGTTGGTTTCTTTGTTAGACATATTAATCAAATACATTCCCATTTTCGTTTTCATGCAACGCACCTCTATTTACGTTTCCTTTGTTCATCGTAGAAAAATACAGCTATATATTCTGCTTTAGTATTGTTAGATGTCATATCTCAACCAACTACAACTCATACTCTCTGTTCTTCCTATCTCGTTATTCACCATGGCAGGATCACGCAGCGTAATGGCCATGGCTATGGTGTTGGTGGCTTCTCTCGTCCTCATCAACGGTAAACTTTTCCCTTTCCCTTTACATTTCTATTGCTCGGTTGATTCTGTGGTATTTATATAACTGGGCCGAAGCCCGAAACATATGGGCTAGTGACCTGGCCCAAGAGTCTGATGATGCTTCCTGATGTGGCAGTGGTCGCGACGACGGCGGCCGGAGTGAGAGGCACACCGGCACCACCGCCGGTTTCGATTTGCTTGACGGAGAATTTTGTGGTGCAGAACTGTGGGCCTTCGAACTGCGACGCGAAATGCAAGAGAGACTGTAAGAAGTTCGGGCTCAAACCGGAAACCTGTTCTGGAGTTTGTGCCACCGGGACCTTCATCTGTAACTGTTATGGGCCTTGCAACCCAGGCCCACCTCATGCTGCTTAACTCTTCTGAGTTCAGTGTTCCGGCCCACACCACCCGCGAGCGACTCCGATTCTTCCTTTTGCATTCACCGTTTCCGTTTTCTCTCATCTTGGTTTTTCATTTTAGAGTTACCAGTTTACCACAGTCCACATCTGGTTGTTGTTAAAGAAAAGCATGATTGAATTTGAAGTCACGATTAGTAGTACCCATGGGTTTATTTAAAGATAAATTTGAGGTGACAATTGAAGTGACATTTCGCAATTATCAATATTATATTCATCTCATGCTACTAAATATCTTAATCAATACATGAAACTTGAAAGTATGATCATATTTTCTAGATGTAATAAGAAGAACGTTAAATATTAAAAAAAATTGCAAGTCAATACCCCTAATTATAGGTGACAATTGTCACATGTTAATACTTTTTTTAAATACTAAAAATGATTATCTAAAAGGAAAGGAGAACCTACGACGACGTTTTGGGCAGTCGGAGGCAGATCTAAGGTGAACCGTCGTCGTAATAATACCTACACAAGCATGCGACCCCACGCAATCCCACACCCAGAAACTCCTTTTTCCTTTCCTATTTCAGCTTTCAGTCTCTCTCTCTACGCTCCAAAGACCAAAAAACCCACCGATTCAATTGATCAGTTCGCTCTCTGGAAAAAAATGACCGATTCCGACGGAACCGCCGCCGCTCCCGCGGCCGAAGATCCCATCTCCGCCCCGCCGCTGAAGCAAGCGGAAGACAAGATGATGCTGCCGCCGGCGTCATCACCAGGTCCAGCAGCCAGAAGCGGTATTCTCAGCATTTGGCCCCCTTCGCAGCGCACCCGCGACGCCGTCATTTCTCGCCTAATCGAGACCTTGTCCACTCCCTCGGTTCTCTCCAAGCGTTACGGCACGATTTCGACCGACGAGGCCGCTGACGCCGCTCGCCGCATCGAGGAGGAAGCCTTCACCGCCTCCAGCGGCTCCACTACTTCCCCCGAGGACGACGGGCTCGAAATCCTCCAGCAGTATTCCAAGGAGATCAGCAAGCGGATGCTGGAAACCGTCAAGGCTCGGGCCGGGTCGGATACCGCCTCGAGTAACGTTGCTCCGGCGACGACTTTTCCTGTTGATGTGGCGCGTCCCGCCGATTCAGCTGCCCAAGAAGCTCCTCCGGCTTCTGACCAGGCTGCCGCTTGAACTTTGTTAGGAACTTTTAACTTCACGTGGTATGTGTTCTACTTTGTTCTAGGGTTTACTGTAATGCTCGTCTTTGTGTACAAGATTGAGATCTATCCGTGCTAAATTATGCCCTGATTATATGAGAAATAACTTCTGCAAGGTGCTGTCTAGGGTTTTGGGTTTCTATTGCGTGCAGTATGATTGGGGACATTCCCCTATCAGTTTGCTGTGTTTTCTTGATTTATCTCTGTATGGTGTCGATTCTGGGGCTGTGATTACCCATTTCATTGCTGGATTGGTATCAGAGCTTTGTGTGAAACAATTTTGTTTTCAGCTGAGACTTTGTGGTGGATTAGGGGGAAAGAAAATGTAGTGATGGGTAAGCTCTTATTGTTATAGAAGATAGGTTTAGTCACCATTTCCAGTGGTGTTTCCTTGTGAATAGTTAGAATCTCACTAAGATCATAGGTACGATACTAGTAAGCTGCCTTTCCTCTGGTTTTGATTCCTGTTGTGCTTTTTTTACTTGTACAAGAATCCAATCTCACTAAGATCATAGGTACAATATTAGTAAGCTAATATTTAGATTAATAGATTACAAACAAGCGCACAATGTACTTGTGATTAAGCTCTTTTTTCTTTTTTTAGGAGCTATTATACAGCAGAGTTGGCAAGTTACAATGCGTGCAATAGTTGCATCGAACATCCTTGTCATTTGATCTTTATGTCAGGCTAGTAACATATCTTCTATAGCTAAGTGCTTATGGGCAGAACATGCCTGAGAATGTACTCATTTCTGCCTCACTTTATAGTTACTTCCTCATTTAGGATGCACTCCTGTCTTCCACTTGTAATTTTCACAAGAAGCCCAACTGGTAGATGTTTTATGTTGGGAATGATCTATGGAAATTGAAAGCTAGAGAAGGGTTGTATGTTCTGGAATTGGCTGCTTACAGTAGTACCTACCTCATTTGCCTGCTGCATTGGTTTTCCCTCAAGTTTCCAAGGGGAAATGATGATAGAACAGAGGCTACTTACACTTTTACTGTGGATGTGAGCTGACCATCAATCTTTAGAGTACTTGAACTCTTTGTGTACTGTTCTGTTTTTGTTTCTGTATATGAACCTTCTTTCTCTGCAATTTCGAAGGTTATCACTGTTTGTATCACTGATCAACTCCTTTGAGCATGATATCAAAGTATGCATATGTTGTTCCTATGTGGTATTGAAGCCGTAGGTCTCTACTGATCTCAAGTAACCCCCAAAAAACATTCAAAATGTATTCTTATTCATGATGCACCGCTCTGCAAGTTCTATCACCGTTGCATCTGAATTCTCTATTGTAACCCCCAAAAACTTAAAAATGTATTCTTAATTATGATGCACTTGACTGTAAGTTCTATCTCCCGCATCTGAATTCTCTATTGCTAGTGAAGTATGCTTATCAATACAGTTGACATATCTTAAAGTCTGATATGAAGTTGAGGACTTCTACTAGTGTTCATTTGCTTGGTTACAATCTACCTGAATTCTGCATCTCTTTTAATCCTCATATTTAAGTTTCCCTTATATTTCTCAACCGTCCATCGACAGGTATCGTGGATATCATCTTCTGCTACTTCTGGTTAGCGCAGGTGGAGCATTTTTTGTTTGGATTTTTGGTCGACTCTCATCTGCTACGTTACTTCACATCCATCTGCTGCTTAGCTTATGATATTTTCCGTGTGTTCCATCTGCATTGTCATTGGTTTAGCAGCGTAGCTTTACTTAAAACTAGGTGTTGTTGCTAGTTACTAGCTACTACTTACTACAGCAATGAAATTAATTGTTCGATGGAGAACTTCAATCCAGTTGAGTCGTAGTGGTTTCCAGAGTTTTGACACCTGAGTAAGGTGTCCCGTAACACGAGCGCTTAAAAGGCGCTCCAACCTTTATTCAATAACTGAACGGGGTGTTTGAACCCTCAATAATATCATGGTACAACCAGTAAGCCAAAACACTATCCAGATTCACAATATTATGCAAACCAATAAGAAGAGAGTGACCCAGATTAGCGAGGTAGTCTGCAACAATGTTCGCTTCCCTGTAAATATGAATAATGAGGACTTGCCAGTCCCGAGCTACGGAGTTTCTTCCGCTATATACATATGTAATCTATCAGTTTTATTTTTTCCGGGGTGTCATCATACAACCAATAGATCCATTGAGATAAATGCTCATTTTCTTTGTGAAGGCCGACGCTCTCAGTAATGGGCACCTGCCCCAGCTCCAGTCTCCGCCACATGCAAAAGCAGGTAAGATATAAAATTGCATGTCATTTTCCCAGAAGGTCTTAATTACTTTGGGATAGGAGTAGGAACTCGACGATTTTACATTGTGTGTTTTTATTGTTAAGTGTTAAAAACGATTGTGGGTTGATATTATGTGATTTTAGATTTTAGTTATGTGTGAACAATTAAGATTTGTGTTTTATTGTATTTCTTGTTAGTTTGTTTAGTTGTTATGTTATGAAGTTATAAGTCATTGTTATCATTATTTATTGTATTTCTTGTTAGTTTGAAATATAATTTGTACGAGCAAAAGAACCACTCACATCGCTTCCCAAAGTCGTCGACCATTTGCTAGAAAAGGTCAACTGCGTCGTTGAACCTCACAAAACTGAAACGGGATATTAGGTCGACCTAATCCTATATAAGGTCGACCTAAAAGTGCAGGTTAGGTCAACCTAATCCTATATAAGGTCGACATAAAAGTGTAAGTTACGGTGACATGCATGTCACCGTAGCAAAGTCCTAAATATTTTAGTTAACAATAATGGAATTTGATTAATAGTAAAGGAATAATTAAATATTGTTCATATAACTTAGTTATAAACATTGAAAATAAAGGAGCTTTAGTTAATAATATATATAAAAACCGATCTATGAAATGTTCGTATAATGTTAAGTTGAATATAGAGAATAAAACTTATCGTTAAATTTCATATGAGTTTTATACTTATCGTAGAATAAATTGTAGGGAGTAAAACTCATATGAATAGTATGCTGAAAAGGAAAAAAATTGGATTGTGGTAAAATTGGGTATATGGGATAAAATCACATTGTGAATAGAATAATTAAATCTTGTTCATATTATTTAGTAATTAACATTGAAAATAAAGGATATTTAGTTAATGATTATATATTTAATAACCTATCTATAAAATGTTTGTTTGTATAATGTTAAGAAAAAACTTATCGTAGAATTTCATATGAGTTCTATCTACGAAATATTTGTTTGTATAATGTTAAGTTGAATGTACAGGAAAAAAAATTCGTAGAATTTCATATGAGTTTTAGACTTGTCGTACAATTGATCAACCATAAAGTAGGTGTATGTGTAAGTTCTATTGGTTACAATTCGTTCCCCCTCTATATTTAATAACCGATCTACGGAATGTTTGTATAAAGTTAAGTTGAATGTAGAGAAAAAACTTTTCATAGAATTTCATATGAGTTTTAAACTAGTCGTAGAATTGATCAACCAATGAAGAAAATGTGGATGAAGAAGAGATGGGACAGGAATAGAATAAAATTGCATGTCTTTTTCCCAGAAGGTCTTAATTACTTTGTGTATTGGTGTTCAATCTCAACCACTCTGCTTGTCCATATTGCTGCTGAAGAAAGCATCTTAGCGTTTCTCCCAGACATGTTACCTACGATGGGATTTGGTGGATGATTGTGCCAGTGATGAAGTCGAGGTTGTTATTACTTTGGACAGTTATTCGGATGATTGTGCTCCAAAATCTGTAGTTGCTACTTGCTACTCCCTCCCTACCATCTTAGCAACGCCCTCACTGAGCTTTACATAAAGCGGATTGGTTGAGCACTTGAGCTACCTCTAGGAATGGCCATGGCGGAGAACTGGATGCACTGGAAACTTTTTGGGTGTAACTAAGACTACCTCTAGGAAGGGCCGTGAAGGGAGAACCATGTGACTCTAGTATATCTCATTCTTCTCGTTAATACGAATATCTTTTGGAAATAAGAGAAAAATTAAAATCACTTGTTTCTTAAAACAAGTTATTTAATCAAAATCCGACAAATAAAAATTTGTGGCAAAATTTTTCATTGAAAGCTCTCGTCTAAATGATCCATGTAGTTGCCTGTTCCTATAAATATGTCATTATGTACTATATCCAAGTTGAAGTTTCCTAACTTAAATTTATAGCAAGGCAAGATGCCCCAATTATTATTATTATTATTATTATTATTATTATTATTATTAAAAATTCAAGCATTTTTTCACTGTTCATCAAGAAAAAATAGACTATTTTTTTCCATGGGTACTGTTCACAACAGGGTATTATTCAATATATACAATTTTACCATAATTTCTATTTTTTCTCACTTGATTATATCGTGTAAAAGTAAAAGGGTATAATTTTATAACCAGACCTCTTTTTTTCATTGATTCTATGCAAGCAGAGGCACATACTTTATTTTCCTTTATTCTTTGCTTAATTTAGAAGAGAGGGGAACCAATTGTAACCAATAGAACTTACACATACATGCCTACTTTAAATGGTTGATCAATTCTACGACTAGTCTATAACTCATATGAAATTCTATGAAAAGTTTTGTTTTTTCTCTACATTCAACTTAACTTTATACAAACATTCCGTAGATCGGTTATTAAATATAGAAGGGGGAACGAATTGTAACCAATAGAACTTACACATACACCTACTTTATGGTTGATCAATTGTACGACAAGTCTAAAACTCATATGAAATTCTACGATAATTTTTTCTGTACATTCAACTTAACATTATACAAACAAATATTTCGTAGATAGAACTCATATGAAATTCTACGATAAGTTTTTTCTTAATATTATACAAACAAACATTTTGTAGATAGGTTATTAAATATATAATCATTAACTAAATATCCTTTATTTTCAATGTTAATTACTAAATAATATGAACAAGATTTAATTATTCTATTCACAATGTGATTTTATCCCATATACCCAATTTTACCACAATCCAAATTTTTCTCCTTTTCAGCATACTATTCATATGAGTTTTATTCCCTACAATTTATTCTAAGATAAGTATAAAACTCATATGAAATTTATCGATAAGTTTTATTCTCTACATTCAACTTAACATTATACGAACATTTCATAGATCGGTTTTTATATATATTATTAACTAAAGCTCCTTTATTTTCAATGTTTATAACTAAGTTATATGAACAATATTTAATTATTCCTTTACTATTAATCGAAATTTCATTATTGTTAACTAAAATAATTAAGACTTTGCTACGGTGACATGCATGTCACCGTAACTTGCACTTTTAGGTCGACCTTATATAGGATTAGGTTGACCTAACCTGCACTTTTAGGTCGACCTTATATAGGATTAGGTCGACCTAATATGCCATTTTCAGTTTTGTGAGGTTCAACGACGCGGTTGACCTTTTCTAGCAAATGGTCGACCTCTTTGGGAAGCGATGTGAGTGGTTCTTTTGCTCGTACAAATTATGTTTCAAACCAACATAATCAGTCATAAATAATGATAACAATGACTTATAACTTCATAACATAACAACTAAACAAACTAACAAGAAATACAATAAAACACAAATCATAATTGTTCACACATAACAAAAAATCTAAAACCACATAATATCAACCCACGATAATTTTTAACACTTAACAATAAAAACACACAATCTAAAATCGTCGAGTTCCTACTCCTGTCCCATCCCTTCTTCATCCACATTTTCTTCATTGGTGTTGCTAGCATCATGGTAGTCGGAATTTACGGTGACATGCATGTATCTTCCGCTGAATGATCGAAACTCATCTCGCATCTCATTCACGGTCACCTGCAGTGTGCTCATCTGGGTGGTCATTTGCCCCATGTAGTCGTACATGCCAGTCTTCTAGGTGGAAATCTGACCCATGTAGTCGTACATGCCATCCATGCGCTTCCCAAGAGGTCGATCATTTGCTATAAATGAACCTCACAAAATTGAAAATGGCATATTAGGTCGACCTAATCCTATATAAGGTCGAATTAAAAATGCAAGTTACGGTGACATGCATGTCACCATAGGCATACCCAAATATTTAACAGGTCTAATCATACGTTACTTTCTAAAATTTGATTTTATCATTAGACCACACATTAAGATTTATGTAATAGTATTCTATATTAGTTCCTTATCTCCTACATCCAATTTTACTATGAGCTCTTGATTAGTTAATTTTGACATAACAATTTAATCATATGTTACTTTCGTCTTACTTTCTAAAATTATTTTTTACTATTAGACCACACATTATGAAATATTTATGTAACAACATTTTATAACAGTTACATAGATTAAAAATTCAACAATGTTACTTACTGTAACTTGATTTTATTATCAGACCACACATTATGAAAATTTTATGTAATAATAACTATCTATGACTGTTACATGAGTTTTCCTTAATGATTAAAAAACTGCATAAAATTTATGTAGAAATAGTTATTTACTGTGTACTACTTAAACAAACGGGTTACGTAAATTATTCGTAATGATTAAGACATCAAGTGAAACTTACATATATATCTTATCTAAATAATTTTGTGAATTATTTGATTTATAATAAATCATTAGTTTCTTATCGCCACTCTAATCTTACTGCGCCGGAGCGTGGGGAAAAAAACTAGTTTAATTAATCATTGATAATAAGTATTAGCTACCACTATTAGTCCTTAATTGTAGACATTCCAAGGCGGCATTGACTGACGACAGAATGACAGGGAGCAAGGATGTGACCTATTTTGTATTTTCCTCGGGGGAAAAAAGCAAGGAAAGGATGTATTGTGATTGACATAGGTCCGGTCCGGACCGAATCGGACCAAACACATGATAACTGCAGTTCAATAGTATAAGATATCTTAGGACTAAAGATTGGATTAATAGTGCATTCGGTCTTCTTTGGTCAGGTCTAAATATTAATTCGGTCCAATTTTCTTCAGTTTTTATAAAATTCGTTGGACCAAAGATTGAACCGTATTATATTCGATTCGGTGTGATGCGGTCTAAACATTGATTCGGTCCGGTGTGGTCCGGTATGGACCAACCCATTACCCACCCCTTGTATATATACCGAAATAACTGGTATCCTCACATTGGGACATTCTTGACAATTGGGATTGTTTTGACTTTTCGAGTCGTGGTTTCATTCAGTTTAGACGGTTTTCTTAATGATCCTTACGGTTCCATAATGCGGTCTTAATTAATAAGAAACAACAGTAGTGCTGCCGCAGTTTCCAGGCAAGCTAAGCGTAAACTTCACTCCCGACACCAACCATCCATTCATCGTATTCTTACTTTCTGCAGCTGCAACATGTCATTGACCAGACCAAAATTTAGAGTACTGTAGGCGCTGGTCTGACCGGTAAACTAACTTACATACACATGCCACTTGTTTGAATGGAACGCTTCCCGTTGAATCTGAGAGACAAGCCAATGGAACGTGTGAGTCAGCCGTTGAATATCTCTTCTGTTAGGTGCCCTAAATATTCTATATTGTGTCCCTCCATGGCTGCTTACCTTGCCTACTTTGATAGTACTTCCTCCAATGGATCATTTCAGTTCTCACTAGCAACATTACAACAAGGGAGCGTAGAAAATGGCTTATTTATTGACTATTGTCCCTGGGTTCTGCCTTTATGGCGCAAGCTGAAAAAGTCAAAGTCTCGAATATTTTATGTGATTGAAAGAAGATATTTATGAAATTCGAATAAAAGACCTCACGTAAATAGCTCTAATATTATATCAACAATCAATATATTTTCAATTACACAAATTATTATGAAATGTTCAATTATCAATCATATATCATTGCTAACCGAATTCTCATTCACACATTTTTAAACAATCATGTGTATATAAGTTGGGCCTCCGATCCAATCTCATTGTGAGTAACGGACTATTGCTCATGTATGATGTTTCTTGAGGGGCTTGGGATACGGTTAATGACCATAGGTTCTGACATATGAGTAACTAAATCTGGACATTTATATCTAAGGGTTGTGAATTAAAGACATTTTATTTTCCCTAGTTTTCTTAATCGGCTCTTATCTTCTTCGTTCTAACTCGAATTTCAAAAAAAAAGAAATTTGCACAAATGGAAAGAATTCGTTGTGCTCTACAAAATGAGATCAATTTTCAATACATTTCGAGAAACTTTTTTCCATGCCTCTCGTTACCAGCTACATACCATATGGTAACTTCTTCGTTTTTAAGTCATTTTTGAAAACGTTTTCTCAGAAGGAACGAGTTCATCATTATCTATTGGATCTACAAATTTCTGTATGAAAAAAATACATGATCAAAAGTTACCATACTTTACCACTATGGTATGTGGATGGTAACTTGTAGTAAACAATGATGAAAGTCGTAAATGACAATTAGTATACTCCTACTATCATGTATTCAACCTTCCTAGTTCCTACCATATTGGTATGTTTATACAATCATGGTAAGCTTTCTTACCATATGGTATTAAATCGGAGCATAACATATGGTATTGACCCGTAAAAAATTACTCAATTTTTTTGTTCTAAAAATATATCAAAGTGGATCGTTTTAAAGAGCACAATTAATTTGGTATATCTGTAAAAAAAATTTAAAATTCGACTTAAAACGAGAGAAAAATCGTCTATTAAATATTAAAGGGAAAATATAAAAGGTTTTTCAAGAGAGAGAGAGGGATGTTGATGTCATGCTAATATGGACGGGTTACTCACCATAAGATTACTGACATGATCCGCTCCCTTCTTTAGGATGATATATTTGAGGATAATGTTCTTAAATAGTTGCTTTCCATAGAAAATATACCTTATTGATTATTTATCATGTACTAATATACCCTTAACAAAAAAATGTGGGTCATCGACATGTGACCTCTCGGTCATAGAAGGCTCTGATACCTTGTAAAATACCAGTTGATCGCAATAACTCGATTTGTTGAGAGGGGTTCAATAACGGATCTTGTACCATATACTAACACGTCCCATCAAACGAAAGCCACAGTTTGAAAATTGCATATGCATCAAACACCATGTACTTCCCGATGGGGACTAGTTAATCGATTTGAACCTAAGACCATTAGGTTGAAACCCAATGGTACCATAGTTGTTTTTTCTCTGAGGTCACGTGTTCAAGTTCACATTACTTTGATATTAATCATTGTCTTTAAAGTAAATGGTATGGTGGTTCTGTGCAAACTTCAAGCCAATGAGTTGGCTTTCTTTTGAGAAGGCGTGTAAGGAAGTGATTAAATACAATGTTTTCAAAACCAGATCGAATGTTGAACCAGAAGGTCAGTGATTGATGGTTCAACGGTTAACTGTTGGCTAACTGTTGATAGAATAGAATTGTTCATGCCCTATAACATATAATACATATATAACTAATTTAGGAGTGAATTTATCAATAACTACAAATCATTTTAAAGTCGTATCATATATCATCAAAAAATTCGAACAAAGCATCCAACTATCACACAAAATAAATCATAATTTTTTATTAAAATTCAATTCATTGATGAAAGTGGCAATCCGGCCATCATGGACCATGAAAGCCGACTAGGAGATTGGAAAATGACGAAAATGAAGCATAAATAAAATTAGTGATTTAGGTTGGATGGTATTAGTTTACGTTAAAAAGATTTCCTTAATTTTTTTGTGGTTCTAGCGAACCAATGGGCGAGTAAAGTTGAAGTGGTCCATCTGGTTTCATCTGAAACCGTTAAAAATAGTTTGGTTCATCCCTAACCGGATCAATTGTTGGGAAAGTAAACCACTAATAGAATAGATAATAAAACTTTTATCTTCCTTGTTTAGTAAAGGAAAGCTCTTCATTTTGATCGGAGTAGGTGCTTTTTGGGGCAAGGCACTCGACTTGACTATAAGTATACGTTGAATGTTTTCATGAGCTGTAAGCATGCAGCAGATCTCTTCTTATTTTGGGAAAGCTGGTGGCATTCTTTCAAGGCAAGGGGTGACATGGTTCGATATTGTCCCTAACTGTCAAATCAAATGAACATTTCAACTATTATAACTAGTTCAGTTGTTCTAATGGCCCAACCATTGATCCGAATCGGTTGTTAATTATTATAACAATGATTAAATACGATAGATGAATCTCACCCAACAATTCAAGCTGTTAGGACTAACGGTTTCATATAACTACCTTCAGTCAATTTTTTTGCGAAAAGGTATGCCAACTAAGAAACGCGGAGGGAGGGAAGAACAGCCAGCTGCATGCCCAGAATTGAAAAAACTAAGACTTCCATTGCTGATCTGTCGCTACAACGCTGTTTGTAAAGCTACATGTGATGTAAGTGTGTATACATATACTGATATACATAATAAACCCTCCATAATTCAGAAGAAAAAAAACAAATAAACAACAATAAAAGCATCCCAGTACAATTTATGGATGCTAGGAAAGACACCGGAAAAACTCTGCCGCATCAATGGCCGGGGCCTCTTTTGCTAGGCCCAGAAGCCAACCTAAACATCAACCCCCGCAAAGAAACTGAAAAGTCGTCACCATTGCCGCCGCTGCCGCTAGAATTATTCGAAGAGGCGACGAATGAAGCTATACCGGCGCCGGCTTGCCCGCCGTCCGCTTGGTCGCATCCGGAGATGGGCAGAGCATCTGACCGGAGTGCTCTGCCGGCATTGACATGATGTGTCGAAAGCGCCGTCACCAGCAGAATCACCGCGATGAAGAAGAGGCTGTAGCTACTCGATGTCGATCGCCTCGCCATTGACATTCTTTCCTTTGGATGGAGAAAGCTTCTTCTGCAACTGGTTTATTTTCTCGTCGCTGAAAGTTTTGTTGGTGATTAATGATGTGAAGGTGGTGATGAATGAATGATGATGATGGTTTGTTGAAGGAAGGAAGGAAGGAGCGGTATTATATATAGAGGAAGCGTTGGTGGGGAAATGGGATTAGTGGGGACGAAGAGAGGGCGGTGAGATTGCTGAAGTGGAACCCACTATCCAAGATTTAGATTCGTATTTTGACTTGGCGTTTGCTAGCTAATGAAAAAAAGTCTAAACGCGCGCTACGTCTCTGCTTTTGCACTTTTTCCACTCACTTTCCGGCCACGGTTGTTGGATCGGAACGGCGCAAACATGAAACCGTCCCGTCGGTAAAAGTAGACGACTTATTAGTTACCAACTCCTGCTTCAGTATGCTATTCTAGCTATTTCATTTGTCATGCACGGTTGAAAATTTGTCGGCTCAAGTCTCAACTTACTTGAGAGTGGTTTGAATAAGGAATTAAGTGAACTGAAAATAAACATTATTTTATTTACCTCAATTAATTATTTTAATAACGGTGGTGATATAGATATATGTTGATTTGACTTGAATCGGACTATCAGCCGCTACGACTGGAATAGTCGCGGGTCTCAATGTTATTTGAGTTCGCGTTCTGGGCCTGGTTGTAACCGCTTCTCCTTTACCATATTGGATTAGGGTTAGACCTAGGAGAAGTACTATAAATACTTCTCATACTCCTCTGTAATTTGTATCTCCTTGAAGTATAGGGAAAACTGGCTCTCTCCTTCCCGTGGACTAGCTAACACACATTGTGTTAGTGAACCACGTAAATCGTGTGTCGTGTGCTTTCTGTCTTTCATGTTCTTGCTTTGTCGATTCTGGCGATTTCCCAATCCGCAGCAGCACAGTTATAATAAGTGGTATCAGAGTCGCGGCTGGAAATCAAGCTAGGGTCTCGATTCTGAAGAATGACGTCGGTAAACATGAAGATCGAGAAGTTCACGGGGAAGAACATATTCGCTATATGGCAGATCAAGATACAGGCTTTATTGAAACAGCAAGGGCTATGGGGGTCGCTGTCTGCGAAACAGAAGAAGGCAGCGGTCAATGATAATGAGTGAAATACCCTAGAGGACAATGCCCACTCGACCATCATGCTATCGTTGTCTGATAACGTCATCATCGAAGTCGCTGCTGAGAAGACTGCCTTTCACTCACTCATGAGTAAAAAAAGGAATTTACAGCCTTTCACTCCTAGTGCAACACAACTTGGATCACCGGAACCTGTCGGTAGAAGGGCACATAATTTATTAGTGTGATTCGAATTAAAAATTTATCCGAATCAGCACACCGTCATTCAAAATTCGTGTCTTGTGTTTTGATTCGGTTCATAATGATCAACCAATCCATAAAATGAAATCTCCACACAACTCACTTACCCCACAACCTAATACATTATATTATACTATTCTACACCTGTGGTTAGGGTTGTTAATGAGTCGAGCTGTTCGTGAGCGGCTCGGTCTCGAACTCGATTAAAGTTCTTTCAATTAAAATAAAGCTCAGCTCGTTAATAAACGAGTCGAGCTTGAGCTCTACCTTGTTCGGCTCGTGAAGCTCGTGAACTAGCTCGATTAGGTGGCTCGTTTAATAGAACTCATGAACTGTCTCGTTTTGAGCTTATGAGATGTCCCAACATTGTGACTAGAGAGCCAACTCGACTACTGAGAAAATCAATCTATATTTTATCATTTATGAGAACATTTGGTAATCACTTGTATCACATATGACATATAAATATTAGGGTGTTTATATTATAAATTATCTTAGAGTTGAGCTCGAGCCGAACTTTCGATCTTAATGATGTGTCAAGATTTAATAAATGAGTTGGCTCGTGTTCGGCTTGACTCGGCTCGTTTATAAACGAGTCGGGCTCGAGCTCGGCTCGTTTATAAGCGAGCCGAACATGAACCAGGCAAAGCTCGACTCGGCTCGGCTCATTAACAGCCCTACCTGTGGTGCACTAGATGTTAAGGACTTTTGGACTTGAATATGGATCATTTGAAGGTCATCTATCAGATTGAGTATTAATTATGACCTTTAGGGTGAACCAATTTTGCGGCGGGTGCTATATTGTGACCATAATCAACCGCGCTACAAGACTCCACTCCTATGCATGGTTTCCATGCACATTAATTTATGAACTTTGGCTTTTGAGGTTTCAAAATTATACCGTTCAAAGAGGAGCTGAATTAATTTGTGAATTGTTTTCCTTATTTATTTAATTTTGGGCGAATGTGGATGTTTTCGCACATTTGAAATTGTTAAATCAACAAACACCGCCCAACGTCGTCGCTATTCGCTAATGTACGTCGTCCTCCAATTAACGACCACACGGCGGTTTAAGTTACGATGATGCGGTAAAAGACAAAGCGTGTGTTTCCATCTGGAGAAACGCGGTGGACACAACACAAAGGTGAGCCGGAAAAAGTCGCATCCCTTAGCCCACGCTGGCCACGTGTCCTGGTTCCCGTGACGATTCTCCGACCTTTCTTTCTTGTGTGTTGCTTTCCACGACGGCTTGGAAAAATGAAAATGACAAAAAGGTGATACTAAAACTAATATAAAAGGAAAGTCGGTCCGGTCCTCTTTGATTTAGAGTTAGGGAGTCTTGCCATGTCGGGTAGTTAACAATACTAATACCGGTTAAGTAACCAACTAATAATCATATTATCCTTTCAAACCAAAAACTAATGATCATATTAGGTAGGATGTCGAATCATAAAAATGTTAATGTATAGAATCGTTTATACTTATAAATTAGAGCAGATATACTAATTAGAGCTAGATGAAGAAGGCAAAAATGAAAATGCAAAGGGAGACAAGGAGCAACTAGCAAATGAAACGAAACGAAGAGGGAGCCGGTAAGAAAATTAACAAATTATGGTATGTTCGTTTTTCGTGTTTCTATCTATCATTATATTTGTTTTAGTTATTTTGTTAAAATAGTGAACAAAAGAAATGATTTAGTCCTCGACGGCTAACAGCCTGTCGGTGCATAGTTGATCTTTCAAACATATGAAATAACATGTCATTGCAATCGATTAATTAGAAGTTCTACATGACTTGATCAGCTCATCATTTCGGTTCTAATAAATAATAATTAGGGGTATGATTGTCGATTGATATTAAATTCCAAATGGTATAAGTTAATTTTGTTATTAATTTTCAAGACCAATCAGTTCCAACAATTCGAATTATTAAGAGAGATTAAATAATAAATTATATGCTAACAATTGATGACATAATACATGACGATAAAGATTTGTATTGACAAATGATTTTGACGATGACCAACCCTGTCCGGCATACTTGGCGGCAGAGAAAGTTGAGGCGACAAAGTTGCGTTGAAAATGAGGCCAAAAGATCATCATACATATATATGGAATTTGGAGCTCGGACGTCGATGGTATGAAACGGACGTCGTTTTCTATTCGTGTCGAGGAAAGCTGGAAAGGGAGGACGAAGACGATTCTTTTCTTCCCCGCCGATGGATCGATTTGATTTGCGCGCTTGCATGAGAATTAATTAGCCTTTTGGCTTTGGGGCATGACTTATTGTGCATCGATCACTAGCTAGCTTGTCACGAAAAATAGAAATAATCACCGCTATAGCTTTTTGTCAGAAATGCAATAGCTACTTGTCAAAAAAGTATAATCAACTAGCATGCTCGTCTTCTATCTATCAAGTTTTTGGACTAAATAACATTTTTATCAAAAAAAGAAAGTGCATGTTGGGGCTCTAATTAATTTAGTGTGGCGACCCACCAAACAATTAAGCTGCTCACGTAAAAATGATTCCACACCAGCTTCACCAAACTCTTGACCATGACCATGCTAGTTGATTATACTGTGTGTTGTTAATATTGAGAGTCGGTTTGAACATGTAACCTCACAATCAAACCAGTTTTGATATCATGTTATAAATCAACTGGTCATTATAATTCGACTTGTTGAAAAAGACTCATATATAAATTGATGTTATACCACTTGTTTAAACCCGGTGATCCGTATTCCCTCCAAACAAAACAAAATGAATAACATATAGAATATTAATACTGAGTTATTATCATAAATGGTCAATATATAATCGATCTTGGCACAAAACATTCAAAAATAATTGGTTTTAAAGGATACAAATTATGAATTCCACGACCCAAATCAACCCAACACCCGGTGATATGAGAAATCGGAGGAATTGGAGGCGGAGGTGGATGGGAAGCAGAAATCTGGTTGACGAACGCAATGTAAGCGTAAAATTTGAAAAGAAAAAAAGGAATATCAAGCAGCTAAAAAAGAATCAAAATTGGCCCTTATGCTCTGAGAGATTGAGAAGATTGTATTCGTACAGAGAGCTTGAGAAGATGCAAAGATAATGGAGAAAATCGTCAGAATGTACACTTGTACAGTGATGCACTATAATCTACTTATATTTTGTACAACTCAACTACCGAAAACAAAGTTTAAGTTTAACACACCTATATTGGAGCAGTCCCCGACGGACTCCGCCCAGCCCGACGTTGTGCATAAATCGACGGGCTTGAAGCCCATTGTTTCTCATGTCCATGCACTTCATAGGTGCATACCTTCTGTAACCCTAGATGATCATTGTACAATAGGGTATATAAGCAAGGCTTGTTCTATCAAGCCGGTATGCAATCAATAAACGAGAGTAGTGTTACCCGTGGATGTAAGCCTCACACGACGTGAGGAAGAACCACGTAAATCAAAGCATTCTTTACTATTTCCGCACTATTTATCATGGTATCAGAGTTGTGAACATGATTCCAGCAACTCAACAATGAGCGACGACGAGTCTGCTGCTAAGTCTACAGGCAAGTCGACAACCATGTCCGGCGGATCGAGTGGTGCTGACCCGGATCCCTCGAGTCCTTTCTTCCTTCATCAGTCCGATAGTACAGGACACCTTCACGTGAGTAGTCTACTCACACCCTCCAACTATGGCGAGTGGATCCTCGAGATGACCGATGCTCTCGTCACCAAAAATAAATTGGGGTTTGTGGATGGATCACTCCCACAACCC